TTTTACACGGTCCATTTTAAGAAGCAGGAAGCCGTTGATCACTCATTTTGGAGTGACAAGAAAAGTACAGGCCACACGGCGAGCCAACAGCGTGTAAGTCCCCGATGGAGTTATTAGGGCGTGTAACTAGCTCCCTCGGGCACGGCCAGCGTTACAAATGATACGTTACGGGGCGTTTGGAGGGCGGTCATGTGCGTCGGGTAACACCTCGGCTGCCCGGGAGCCTTCGGGTGTGCCGCCCTGCACGCAACCCGCCCATTACCCGAACTCCTGGACATTTACTCGACTTCTCCGGCGGGCCAGAACTGTCGACATTTCTTGCCCGCGTTTGCATGAACTTTTGAGACGATAAGAGAATGCAATGCAACGCGCGCGCACACGTACGCGTACACAGGATATTTAAGTGCATATATCCGAATGTCCGTAAATATCTTTCAATATTTTGAAGCCGCGCAATGTTACAGCCGCTGTTTACCCCCATGAGCTCTTTGGCAGGCCGCGGCGGAATAGGCGAGGGGCCTGCGTCGCGACCGGCATGTCTGACCACTGCTTCATAATAATTGAAAGACTCCGGGGCAAGAGGTTGCCGGGCTCGCCGCTTGTGTAGGTAAGGTTGATGAATACTGATTGAAAAAGGCCCCGGCCGACCTTACAGCGCATCCCACCTGCCGCTGCAGAGGGCTCGAGGGAGAGCGGCTACTTCAGAGCGCCAAAGTGAGCGGCAAGCATCCTCATTCACGCGAAGGAAACTCCGACAAGCACGCGAACTTATCCCTCGCTACCTTCCACCAACCCATAGACCTCAAGACTCTCTCTCTCGCTCTTCCAAGACGAAAAACACCGAAGGGAGGGAGGAAACAGAGGAATTTCCTTCCGAGACCCACGCCTCCCGCCCGATTCTCCACCTGGGACTCGAGAGCGACACCTGAGATCACAGCATCGCCCGCAAGATCACTGATTACGGGTTTATGAGAGCCGTTCCTCACATGAATGGCGGTGGCGCTGAGGCTGAGCTGCAGTCGCCGGCAACCACACTCTGTGGCGGGGGCGAGGAGGTGCTTGTTTGAGAATGGCGCCGGTGGTCTTGTAGTAATTGTAGTTGTAGTGATAGTAAATGTAGTATTGGTAATAGTAGTAACAGTAAAAGTTGCAGCAGTAGTAGTTGTAGTAGTAGTAGTAGTAGTAGTGTAGTAGTAGTAGTAGTAGTAGTAGTAGTAGTAGTTGTAGCAAAAACAGTAGTAAGAACAGAAATACTATCCGATTTGGAATGGAGAAGTAAGAGGTTGGTAATACCTTTGCGATGGTTAAAAAAAAAAAAAAAAATAGCAGTGAAAGTTGTAGTGGAAGTAGAAACATGCACAATAACATTAGTATCGGCAGAACAATAAAAGTAACAATTGTCGTTTGTGGCGTCGTGAACAAGCGGGAGTGGTAACAGTCCCCTTACAATCTCCCGAACAAACAGCAAACAACGAAATAACCTGCTTCAGAATGGTCATTAAGCGCTATGGCTTGGAATATAGCGGGCGAAAAAGAGCCCGTGTAAACGACTTCATAAATAAAAGTAAATAGAGTGATTGGCGACAATTGCGGGAAGAAAAAGGAGGAGCGAGCGAGTGACAACACCGTGAGGAGAAGGCTCGTCGAGGGCAGAGGTGGTGTCAGGCAGAATGTATGATGGCATTACGCTCATGGTGGACAGGTGTAACGTTACCTGTGAAATGAAACCTCATTAATCTAACCGCCGTGGCTGTCCACCGTCACCCCCTGGACCTGCTATCACCCCCTCCTCAGCCCCTGAAACCCCCTGGACCTGCCATCTCCCCCCCTTCAACCTCTGAAACCCCCTGGACCTAGGATCACCCCCTCAAACCCTGAACCTACCCTTTCCCCAACGCCTGAAACCTCCTAGACCTGCTATCACCCCCTGAAACCACCGCCTCCCTCCATGCAGTCACCAACACCCCTCCCGCCCTCCTTCTCCCCGCGGTCGCCGATACTTCGAAGCACTTGTTAGTCCTAAAACGAGCCACTCACTCCGTAATTTCCCTGTAGGGTTCCCTCAGCTCCTCCACTCCCCGACAGGCATCCCTCTCCTCCCGAAGGCCATATATCTCTCCCCGGAGCTTCCTCCTCCCCCTTCTCCCCCTTTTCGAAGCCCTCTTCTCCCCCGACGACACCGCAAATGTGCGTGCAAGCGAGCTGGTGACTGCGCCTTGTAATGAGAGAGCCGCATCGGAATGCTCGCTCGCCCTTGGAGCAGTAACGGCCAGGACCTGTGGCAGGGACCTTCGCTGGGCGCAGCCATCCTCGTCGGCGGCGCTCGTGCGGCAGATGCACTTCCGCAAGCACTTCCAAGCACATCATTGACCACCTAAGACGCGCGCTTCACTCGTTGGGCAATGAAGCCTTTCTTCCGAGTCGCTGTTAAAATAAATCAAAGCGACTCAAAAAATGTGTCGAGCTTATTCTGACGGAAGCAGATGGAAAGACCCCCACAAGGAACACGCGGAAGCCTGCTTGGCGACCTAAAACGTCGTCCTTTGCCCTCGCTTTCGGGTTCCGGCAGCCTCGTGCCTCGTCACTCACTGATCGCTCCTGCGGTCCCTCGCCGCCGCCTCGATCGCCCGGCACAGCACTCCACGCCGATAAAGCTCATTCACCGCGATTCGGGGAAATATAGACATAAAACGAATCGTATTTCTATTAAGAAACGATATCCTCCCGCGCCGCTGTTACTACGTTGCAGCGGGCGTTTGAAATGCGCCGGGGCGAAACCCGATTATCTGCGAGGGCGGTATGCGAGCCAATTCACCCTCGACGGAAAACAACAATTAGCCCGAAATTTGAGCGCTGTTTCGCACGGGACCCGCTCGCTCCCCGGCGCTCGCGGAGACTCGCCAATTTTAATGCAAATATGAATGGTGTTGGTCAGCGCGGCAAAAACGAGGCTTGATTAGTATTTCTCTCGGCGAAAAGGCTTCAACGCGTTTAAAAAAGTACTCGCCTGGAAGATGTGGAATGAATATATATATATATATATATATATATATATATATATATATATATATATAATATATATATAATATATATATATATATATATATTATATATATATATATATATATATATATATATATATATATATATATATATATATATATATATATATATATATAATACATTTATATTATATATATATAATATATATATCGCCATCTATGTCCTACACGCTCCATAGAGGCGCCCATGCCCGCCTGGCAGCAAAGAGACAATCCGGGCGTCGGTGATGGGCGCGCTGGTGGCCGGTGTCTTATCACTCTCGAATCTATTAACTCGGCCAATTTGTGGGTCGAAAAAATGCAATTATATGCAAATGATCTCATGATATTTCTGATAATCCTCAATCATTGAACACCATCAAGGGCAAAAACTTTTTTCAACATTTTAGGGAAACAGGTGTGGCGCTCGAACATCTGGTGACCGATTCATGAATAACTTTGTCGGGGAGAGAGAGAGAGAGAGAGAGAGAGAGAGAGAGAGAGAGAGAGAGAGAGAGAGAGAGAGAGAGAGAGAGAGAGAGAGAGAGAGAGAGAATGTAGAAGAGGGGATAGAGAGGGGGCAGTAAAACAGACAAGCTAACTGATAAGTTAACTGATATACATGTACACACATATACATATACATATACTTACGTACGTAGATTCATCCGTACATCCATCCATCCACATACATCAATATTTACATATGAATAAACTGGATAAAAAGATAAACACAAAGATATTTATCATGAAACGGCGCTTTAGCACTAAATTCCCGAGAAACTGATATAAAACGAGACACTTATCTGAAAAAACTCCACACACAGGTAAGGAGGCGCAGGTATGCAAACACTTATCTTTACAAGTGTGAAGAAGTGTCAAGACCGTCATTATCGGCTATGAATTAATAAGGTACAAGGGAAAGGACAAGAATTTTTAAAAAGTGGTTGACACAAAAAAAAACAACCAACATCCACACAATCTAATGACTAAACCGATAAAGAAAAAGAACATTTACAACGACGACAAACACGAACACACACATACAAATCTAGATGATACAAGGGACACATCAAAGGGGAATTTAACCAACGAAGTTACGAGATTTGAACTAAAGCGGACTACAGTTTATATCCTTTTACTGACCCGAAGAACGTAACGGCATCATGCAGCTTTTGTCACAAGAAGCCTAAATTAGGACCAGAATGCATGACACAGCACTCTGCATGTGTTAGGAAGGTGCATGAGCGAGCGGCCGAGGGATCTGGCAGCCGCTCAGACACGCCTCCAGGAAGACAACAGTTAGGAAGAACTTTCGACTCCAAGCACCGGAGTTGAAGCGTTCCGACCATTGTCCAAGCATAAAAGCACATTTATAAGAAGAAGGAGAAGAAGAAGAAGAAGAAGAAGAAGAAAGAAATATGCCTATCCGTCTTCTTCGACTTTCTAATTCTTCTGCTTATTATTTATTTTCCTCCTGAGCACTTTCCGTCCATTTGTCCTGGACTGAGTGAAACTATGAGACCTTTTATGGACAAGAGAAATCAAATTAGAAAATGGGTGGTGGAGTAAAAAAAAAAAAGAATGGAGTGGGGGGAGGAGAGAAAAAAAAGAACACCAAAACAAAAGCAAAAATAAAATAATAATAGACCCTTCACTTCAGCCAAAAAGGTCAGGCTGTCTTCAAGGTGTTGTCACATCAAAGTGCGGGTTCTTTTTTTTTATTTTTTTTATTTTTTTAAAATCCAAAGACACTTCTCTTGAATAGCTTACTTTCCAGCGGTACAGACAAAGGAGCATGAGTCTCACCTGACATTCTCAGACACCATTTAAAAACAAGGTTACTTTCCCATGCAGAGAGCACAGGAAAATGAGACTCAGCGATAGGGTCACTAGAGTCCATTCTCGCATACACCGATGGATACCAATAATCATAATACCATAGAAACATTGGCTTACCTCATGTTCCCGCTTGAAGGGGAAATATTGCATTTCCGGTGGAGGATGAACATATTCTTGCATTCCATACATGGCGGCGACGGGGTCAGTTTGGCCTCACACCTTTCGATTGTTACGAGACTTAAAATAAAAAGTTACTGTGGTTCGTTTGTTGCTTTTTTTTTTAAATTGTTATTATGTAATTAGGTAATTCCTTTTATTTTATTTTTTCTCTCTCTTTTTTTTTTTTTTTTTTCTGTCTCAGAGTACGGTTCTTTGTATAAATCTTAGGCTAGGTGTACAGGATATACATGAACACTTCCTGTACGAGTATACATATGCGTTTGAGCTCGTATACAAGAGCACTGAGTTCCTTCTGTATTTGTTTTTTTTTGTTTCGTATTTTGTTATTTCTTTTCGTCTCTCACTGGCCGAGCACCACTGGCTGAGTGTACCATATATTATTATACAGAGTCGGGCACCCTATATTGCACTAGGGTACAGTACATAGCACATGAGTAGCACCAACTGTTTATTTTTGTTTTTGCTTTTCGCTTTTGGTTTATTGGTTTGTTTGTTCTCTTTTATTGACAGCAGGATTTCCGTATTATGCATTCGTTGACTGTCGTTCGCTTTGTTAGTGTTCGTTAAACTCT